CAGCATCTCTATATAGAAACATTATAATCAAACATACAGCAAATTAATAACTGTCAGCACACATGAAATGCCTGTCTTGGTTGCGTGAGCAGTTCCAGTGAGAAGTCCTTTTACCTGCCACCCCACTGATTAATTAATTTCACACTGTTTAATTAAATTCACAGTCTGGGGAGTCTGGGAAGCACTGTGGGGAGCCATATTTGAGCCGTGTGTGCACAGAGATTACTAAAGAAGGTCTGAGACTCGTGCTCTCCGGTTGATGTTGACACTGACGTCACCCTCCTCTGGATACCGGAGCCTGATTGTGTCAGTGTCATCTGGCAGTTGTGAGCGTTTACTGCTGGGAAATGATAGTAATGGCCCATTTGTTAATTATCTGCTGGCGTTTACATTAACAAAAGAGAGTTGAGCATTTGACAGCTTTGGACACAAATTAGCATTTGACAGGAGCATCTGATTGAGTGTGCTACTGCATATATGCAAACCTCATCGCCCTAAAGTTAGCTACCAGTACAAATAATGATGAATTATAATGGCAAATCCATTGCTATAGAAAGGTATGTGGAATTGAGGGGGTCATAAAACATAAAGTAAGAAGAAACAGGAGACCCAGACAGGAGTGATTTAAAAATGTGGGCCATAGATCAAAAACTGTACAAATTGGCTTCAGTATAAATGAGCATATTGAACTCCTGTGTCCTGTCCAATGCTGTTGCATCCAACAGTCAAAGCCTCAGAGACACGGTCTCTCTTATGTCAGAACAGAAAGAGATGCATGAGTGTATGAGCACAGCAGACACTGTGACTGTGTGGGCTGAAAAGCGTGTACGTTACTTTCTCTGTTCTCTTGAAGCATATTTTTGGCATCTCTAATCACAAACAAACACATTTTGAGTCAGATGGTTCTAATAAAGTGCAATTTAAAAATGAGGTGATCTTCAAAGATTACAAGAAATAAGTCTAAATAAGCATTTTTCTGATGCTCTATGTTTTTGCACACAGACAACAGAAAATATTATAGAAGTTAATCGGCTTTAAAATCGAAACCTGATTCTAATTTTTGATTGATTTATTCTAGTATTCATAGTTATTTGATTAGACACATAATGATGACAGCCTGCTGGTTTGAATGTATGTGGTGTGGGAATAAATAGTTGCTTGTGTTCTGTATATGATGTATTAAGAAATATTAAAGGAACACACTGTTAAAAAAATATTTTTTTTCTATTTTCAAAGTTCTGTGTGTAAGGATGTCAAACCTTTATGTTTTAACTTTTATATTGTGCTAATGGATTTTTAAAAAGAAGTACTTTCCCGACTTACATGGCTTTTTCTGACAGCCTGTAGACTGATTTCCTCAGACGGATAAAGAAAAAGTAAATAGAGAAAAAATAGTCAGACGGCATTTTGCTCGGAATAAACGTTAGGGAGCAGTTGTTCTACAGTGCACAGATCTGGCTTCGGTTAGCTGGCAATAAAAATTAGCACAAACAGGAGGATGCTGACCTCAGTTAATTGGTACCAGTGCCAATGTAATTAAGTTTTCAGAATTTTAAACAGAAATTTTAGAGTAAATGCCGAAACTTTTCATTTGTCTCTTGCCTGACTACAAAACAAACACAAAGCTTTAAACTGCAGGCTTTCACAAAAGTGTAAATATATAAGATACTCGATGATCAACATTAAACTCAGTTTTGAGCCATTGTGGTGTGGACAGGTGACCTCTGGTGGTGTCTCGTATTGTCTGAAATCAGGGCATTGGCAACTTATCCTTTGGGTCCTTTGGGTAGCTGCTCCATTCACATTCCAAGGATGCTTAAAAGGACTGTGATCTGGGGACTTTTGAGACCAGTTCAGTGGATTAATTGGTAAGTATGCAACAAAGTTCAGGTGAGTGACACATATCAAAGTAAGGGCCGTATGAATGTCTTGTCACTGTCCAAGAATGGTCAGGGTTGTTGTCCTTTGTTGCTCTCTCTCTCTCTCTCTCTCTCCCCCTCTCTCTCTCGTCACGCTCTTTCCTCTTCTCTCAGGTGGAGGGGGGCAGAGTAAACTCTGGGCTCCTGCTGGCAGTGCCTACTGGTTTCCTGCTCTTCAGCCAATGTGCTTGCTTCTTATCTGATCATCACTCAACAGTATTTAAGGACCACCTCAGGATTTGATTCTTTGCCAGACTATCATTGTTTGATTGTTAAAATCAGGCTTTCTGATGTCCAGGTTCCACCCCATCCACCCATCTTTATTTATAGAGCACTTTAAAACAACCACAGCTGACACAAAGTACTGTACATTGAAACTAAATAATAAAAACACATAGGATATAAATAATAAACAAATAGAAAAAGTCAAATAATTAAAAGGAAAACTGAGAGAAAAAACTAAAAGTTGCCTGAGCTAACATCATCATGCTGACTAAAGAGCTCTCCCCCTGTGGAAAATACTTACCTGATATTCTGGACTTGTCCGCTCCTGCACAAAGGAATTGTGGAATTACTCACCTGCCTCTCAACCCTCCACCAACACCTGCCTCCTGGCCGGTCACTTCCCTCACTGCCTCTTTGCTTAGAATACTCAAGTAAGAATCCAATTCAGTTCAAACATTAAAGGCTTCAGAACTTACCAGCAACACGGATTAACCTCCTTCGTCTTTCTGACAGAAGTCACTTCCTGTGTGGAGAACCATAATCCCCCAGCTGCAAGTCTTTGTTGTTATATTTGAATTCCTGTCAAATAAACCTTTTAAACTGCACACTGAGAGTTTGGGGTCTTGCTTCAGTCCACAATAATTGCTATCACCATTGGTTCTGACATGCAAGGACACACGGTTTTCAAGCAGAGCTTTGCATTATAACAACAGAATTTAAAAAAACAATAAATTAAAACAGATGCAGCTTCCAGTGGTTAACCCCAGTGATAAGTGGAGGTAAAAATATTGGTGGGGGTGCAGTTGGGTCAGACAGGACAATGTAAAGCATCTTACAGATAAGGGGAAAAAAACACAAATCTGACACCAATAGTAATATTTCTTAAACCGTTGCTATAAAAAAAACCTTTAAAAACACAAATCTTAAATAAACATGAACACTTCAACACAAGCAGCACTCGAAATTGCCATCCTAGCTAGCTAGCGAGTGCCTCTTCTTCCTCTACAAGACAAGAGTGCCTGTGCTGTCAGGATGTGTGATGTTAAATTGTCCAATCAAATTCTCAAACAAGGCAATAAACAAGGAAATCCATAAACGCCAATTGGTCACGGATGCACAAAATTGCGCCCCGACGGCTGAACTCCAAGCTTCAAATAAAACTCACCCTCAGACCCTTATTACTGAAAAACTTTCAGTCTGTCCTTTTTGACCACTGTCCGTACAAGCAAGTCGATACATAATTATATTATTCATAACACATAACGTGGTGAAGTTTGAGTAGAAAATCGATTCTGGCAGACACGTGAAGGCAACCACACATGTTATATAAACAAAATGTACTTATTTGTATTGCAAGTTATATTTTTGCAAATTATTAATTATTTGTGATGCGTTTTTTTCCTGGCAATATTTTTACAGGGGTGGCACTGTAGCAAAGGTCTGAAAGGAGATTTGACTTAAGCCAGCATTCTTCTTCATGTCCAGCAAGGGGCGACTCCTTTGTTTACAAAAACAAGACGAGCTGGATAGATATTGGAAAACAGCACAGCTCTATGACCTCAGTGAACACTTTCCAATGACTTTATTGGCTCAGTCACTAGTTTCAGGTCATATTGAATAAAACATGAAGTTCATTTTGTAATGCCATTGTTAGAATCAGACAGGAGGATAATCCAGGAAATGCTCTTTCGCTAAGGACTTGTGATTGACAAGCCCTTAGCCAAAGAGGACTTGTCAGTCACTTGTGATTGTGATTGACAAGTCCTTAACCAATAAGCGCGTCGTGTCCTCGGTTTAACACTGATTTTACCCATCACCTGTCACGTCCTGTTCAAAACACCAACATGGCAACTGCAAAAACACTCAGCCTGTGGCTTCATAACTCCAGTTATGGACAGTTTAAAAAATATTGCTTATGATTATATAGGATAATCACTGTAATTCATTTAACCTGTCACTGTTTTTATTATTTTTGCTGGTGTATACAACAGTTCAAAAAAATAAAAAGCATTCAGATAAAGGCTTTCTTTGATCAGTATGCACCTCTCTTTTGTATAAGCGTCACAAAGCATAACAAGAAGTCAGAAGCTTTTATTCAAACAAACGACTCCATTTTTGCAAACAGTCAAGTTTACTTACACGAGATAAACTTTTAATAGGCATTCCAGCACACAGCGTCGAGACACTTCTGCAGACTGATACAGCATTAGCTGGGAGAGCAGCACTCTATTTGTGCTTGCCTTGTCCTGTGACAGGAAGACCTATCAGGTGCCCCCCTCAGACTCCCCCCAATCCCTCTCTCTTCCTGACCTCATTCTGTCATCTTCGTTTTTCTTCTCCCCCACTCACAGGTCTTTCATAAAGTGTCTCCATGCATTACACATTTAACAATGCATTAAAAATAGGCCACCATCAATCAGTCATTCAGTAGTGGAGACGAAATCTACTTGTGGCACCAATTTGATATATTTCTCAAGGTTCATGCAGGAAAAGAATGCCATAAACTCTTGAAATGATGTGCGGCATATGAAAGTTAACAGATATGTAAATAGTATGAGATAATAATACACCGTACCTCATAAAACCCACCATGATAATTCTGAATTCCCCTTCGCTTAATTTCCTCTGGCATAGTGTCTTTCCAGAATCCAGAAACAGAATTAAGATAATATATATATGCAGGCGCTAAGCCGTGACAAGATTTCTGTTGATGGGTGCCAGGTTAACATCGTGCCCAAAACAGTGATTTGAGAACTGTGATGCATGATACAAGATAGGTACTAGGTAAAATCTGATGTAATGTTAGGGAGTGAGTCAAGCCTCGAGGGCAAATAGTCTGAACAGTCTGACTCCAGGTTGCTCATGCCAAAGCAGATGTTCAACTGACGACAGCATTACAAAAGACAGGGCTCCATGTTATTCAGAAGGTATTTTATATTATTAGGATGGCATGTCAAGGTTGCCGAGCTGCCGATAGAGCTGCCTTTGTAGCTGTTTTGATGGCCATGTATATTTAATAAAGATATATCGACAATCTCACAAAGTGTTTTCAAAGTGAGTTTTGTTAGCACAGTAAGGTGTTCTCCTGCTCAGGTTCAGGTACAGGAGTCTGCTTGTGAGCTTTGATGTTGCAGCTCTGCTCTGAGGCTTGATCCTGCATTCTGGACTTCAAAACAGACTGCATCTCGTCATGGGCAACAGCTTGAAGAGGTAGACACCTGCACAGACATGCCTGAAGGACCACCCGGAAAATTTGGTCAGAGGACAACAAACATTTCCCATCAGCTTCACCTGGCAAAAACTGCCTATTATGACGTTTTTATGTGAAGTATTTCCTGTCCAAATCTACAGTAAAGCAATCGCTAATGATCCACAGATTGAGTTTTCATTAATTCAGAGAGCGCAAACCTTATCGGGAATAGAAATGTAGTCTGGAAAGACAGTTGTTTAAAGCAAGCTTCAGCTTTGGGTGTTTCATAAATATTACATTAAACAAAATATGTTGCTATGAAGAAAGAAATCCATGTATTGTGCAGTGCAAAAAAATGTAAGTATAGATAAAATAAATGAAAGAATGTTTTAGGTATCTTCTTCTGAACTTGTGGTACAATAAAGGCTCTTGATTTTTTTTTCCCTTAAAAATTGCCTTGAAGCGATGTTTTCTTCTTCTTTTATAGCACGTCACTTTGATTCAGTGACCAACTGTCTGGTAGATTGCCAAGTGTCTGATGATGTGTTTTTTTCTCAGACCATTTTCACTTATTACCCCCTCAGGTTATTACTTGCTGCAGTCTGGCTATTTTACAGACATGACTCCATATGTCCTTAATGACACCCCTGATAGCTCATACAATGTGGACCAATATGTTTTCAAGATATACCCAATTTATTTAAACTAAATAGTGCCATCTATAAGAATAACAATAAGAGCATGACGCTTACCTTAAAGCATCTCTTGAATCTTTTGCTGACAATGTACAATGCAATAGGGTTGATGCATGAGTTCAGGGATGCCATATTTATGCCAAAATAGTCAAGGACAAGAAAGACGCTGAAAAAGAGTTGTCAGAAAATGTCAGGAAAGCTCATAGGCTGGCCAGTGAACAGCAGAAAAGAAAAAAAAAAAAAAAAAAAAAAAAAAAAATATATATATATATATATATATATATATATATATATATATATATATATATATATATATGTATATAAACTTTAAATTAAAGGTTCTTAGTACTTTGTGCTCACCTCAGCAGCTGACACCTATTAGGATCTTTTTCATCATAAATTGTTAATTTCAAGATTCTGCTGAGGTACAGAGGCAACCAGCAGAGTGCAAACACAATCACCAGGCAGAAGACAGTTTTTGCAACTTCTCTTCTCTTCAAAAGAAAGGACATGATCAAAATAAGCTTTAAAAAGGAAACATTGCCAGAATGATGCAAAATCTGCCAAAAACCACAATGCTACCTGCTTGATGTGTTCGCATAATGTAGTCTCAGTTTTTCTCAGCATTTTCCTGGTCATCAGCGTGTAGAACACTGCAGTCCAAACTAGTGGCATGCAAAAGTAGAAGCCAAAGAGCCACCAGTCTTTCACTGCTTTATAAATCTGTTGGTTGAACACGACAAGGCTATCAGTCGTGGATGCGAGAGCACCATTCAAGAAACAATATTTGACACACGTGTAGGTTGAAAACAAGCGTACTTTGCATCTGCTGGCTGAAGACAGAAGAAAAACTATGATAATTGTTACATTTTTTAGTTATCTTTGACAATTGACATGAAAACTTAAATGTTATGAAGACAATTACATTACCTGCATGAACCCCGTGGTTTGCATTGGGTGTAGTAGACATATCGTGAGACGCTTCTCTTTATAGTCCATTGTTATCATATCAAAGCCCACAACTTCAGGGACAGCCAGCAGGATAGAAATAACCCATATCAGACCTATTTCAATTGCTGTCCACACTGAAACCCAGATGCCTTTGATTTGATTCCAGGACACAACAGCTCTGTATCTGTAAAATCAATGAGAAAATGTTATGGCTTGAGGAACTTTTTGTCTGTAACAATGATGCATTTTCAGCTCAAGAACATTTCAAGGGCTAATGCTAAATAAATCTGTCTGCCTGATGAAATACAGATAGGAGGCACGGAACACTATTTTCTTGGAGGGCACAGGACAGTGCTGTTTATCTCCTTACCTGTCAACACTCAAGGCACATAAGCTCAACACAGTAATTCCAACAGAGGTTTTTTGTATGAAGGGAATGAGTTTGCAAAGTACTAAACCGAAGGGCCAATTTTCTGCCATGAGCTGCAACAAAAACAAAAGGGCATTTTTGGCAATTTAAAAAAAGAAAAACACCCACAATCAATTCCAGCTGAAATTAAGTGCAGAAAAGAAAACAATAATTGCACACCATGTGGTAAATAACTCACCCTGTAAGCATTGATTGGAATGTCTATCACAATGTGGATTAGATCTCCCAAAGCAAGGCTCGCAATGAGAATGTTAGGGCCACTTCTCATGCGTTTGTTTACGTAGATAATTCGAAGTAAGGCGGAATTCCCGACTATTCCAACAACGAAAACAACCAGGGAAACTATAATATTGACATATTTGAAGGTGACTCTGATTCCAGCTGACTCTGAACACATAGGAGGGTGTGATGTTTTTGGTCCTGCTACTTGAGGTGGATGAATTGAGCTGTTGGATTTCTCCTTTTCCAGTATTAAAAAACCAGGGGAGGTTGTTGCAGAGAGCTCAATTACAGGAGATGGTTCTGAGTCCTGGTTGTTGGCCGTTTCACCGACAAGAAGATTTCCCAAAAACAGAACCAGAGTGAAAATCCACATTGTTGTAAAATTCCTCAAAAACGCCTTTTTGCCAACTGTGGAATGGAAAAAAATGAAAGCTGTTATAATCAGCACAGCTAATTAGCTTTACGATTTAGTGCAATGTAAATGATTCATTTAACTTATTTTTATTTATTTAAAAGGGAAAAAATATTAATAATAGCATTGATTATGATTGCCAACTTACCTTCAGATGAACACATACACACTGCCTGCAGATAGTCTCTGTAATAATAAACAGGCTGTATGTTTAATACAAAGGACGGTTCTTTGTTGCCTGCTATAACCCGGCTGAGGAAAATCAGGGTTTTATAGACTAAGGTACTGTTGTCAGCATTAGTCATCGATCTGTCAGTAGTGACTGTAATTACTTCCCTTGATGCATCACCCTGAATGAAAGGATGGTGTTGAAGTGTATTGTCTGCTATCGCAGAGTGAGATCATTTTATAGGCTTCAGTAGGGATATTGTGTTACAGTTTTTCCCTCTGTTACTAAAACTTGTCCATTATCTTATTTGACATATCCTCACAAAATCTAAATGTAGCAAAATGTCTATTTTAGTGAAGCAAGAGATTTTCTTTGCTTAGAGCCACAAAGCCTTTATCACTAAGTCACACTCTATCGAGTCATCATTAATGAATGCAATGGGAACTGGAAAAATATCTTCTGCAGCTATATTACATTTTGGATGTACATGAGCTTGATGCACAAATACTGACAGGCAAACGCACTTGAATAATAACGAAAATGATGCAAATTTTAACTACAACATTTAGAGAGTTTCAGCTGACATTTTTTTGCCTCAGTTGACACATATCAATTTGAAAACATGACTCGGTCTCAGTCCTACCAGAGTTACTGCTTCTGCCTCTCCTGAGGGTCCCGGTGAAGGTGACTTCTCCCCCTCGACAGTCTAACGACAACCTGAAGAGCCTGGAGGAGCAGGAGACGTGACGACAAGAAAGATCCCACTGTTAATAACATACTTGACAACTACTCATTTCAACATTGAAATCTGTGCCTCGCTGCTCACAGATGACCTTGGGAAACTACATGCTGGCATGTTTTTTTGCAAGAAGTACAGATTATGAGAAGTGAATTGAGAATAAAAGACTGTGACAACTGTTCGCAGCTAAGTTTTCGGTATATTCCAAATAAATACAACATTTTTTTTGGTATCTTTTTCATGCAGGACCCATAGAAGTAATTATGGTAATATGTAAAGACTTCTAAACACAGCACCTTGCATTTCTGTTTCATTTGTCACTTTAATTAACTCCATTTTGAGTCAAACTGCTGGTAAAACTGATCTGAAACCAGCTGTTTTTTGGTCTTTGGCCTCAGTTGTGCTTTAATGGATATGACGGTTATCTTGGTGGTCGGTTTGGCTAAAGAGCTTTTTACCTGACAAACCCTACCACTGCTGTCAGATGTAATGACTCGCCAAACCCACCATTACCGCAGCTGCATATCTGCACTGGACACAGTTTAATTTGGAAACCAAAATGCTTGGGTTTATTACAGATTGCAGCCTCGGTATTTGCAACGATTATGGTCTAAGCTGTGAAATGTGTCCACGCTTACATGGCTTATCACAGCAGGTAAGTCATGTGAGCAAGAAGCTCTTTTGTAGCTTATCCACCAAAAATACTGAATAAAATTGCTCTCGTGAAGCATTTTTTTTTGTCTCCCATCGCTGTTTTCTTCAGTTCCACCAGAGTTCATGAAGGTTTGTTTGTTGGATGGAAGATTTATTACTCTGATGAGTACTCAAACACACACAGATTGGGAGTGGGTGGAGCAGAGCCCCTCTTTCAGCTGTCAAGGTAAGCTGTGTCATCAGTATGGCTAAGATTGGGTCACCTGTTCCAGCCCCCTCTTGGATCTCATGACTTAGACAGCTGTCAAAATCCTAATTATTTCTCTCTTGTGTAGTTCAAAAGGAAATTGAAGAATCCCGTTGATGCATGCAGAGGTGAACGTGGACAGTGTCCCCAATTAGCTGCTGTTGTTAATGCAGTTCTGGCTGATGGCTCTAACAGCAAAGCCATTCAGTATTGTGGTTTTGTGGATATTTTAAGCATTCCTGAAATCTTGAAATAAAATTATGAACCTAGATGGTAACTACTGACATTTTTAAACTGAGAAATTATGTTCTTAAAATGAACTAATTGCCAACACAGTCTTTCAAAGACAGTTGTACATTTTTCACCTTTTGTTGTTACCCAACTTTTCTTTTCTAGCACTTTTTTCACCAACACCATTTTTTATAATAATAATCATAAAAAAAAAAAAAAACGTTGACATTTGATATGATATCTTATACAATTTTCTTCATATTTGCTTTAAGACACTGTAAACGTAATGAGATTATTGCATTTTATTTATAAACTGCAAATCTCTCTATATATAGAGCCTTTTTTTTTCTTTTTCGAAAAGTGCCCACCAGCATTAAAGCACTGCTTACATTGTATATTAATGCATCAGATATCACCACTGTCACCACTGCCAGATTCCTCTGCAAGGGCAGAGTTAGGAGACAGATGATGAAAAGCGTGTGGGTCATTCTTGTTTCCTAGCATACAGGCCAAAACAAACTTGGTAATGACAGTGATGGCTTTTTCCCCACAGTAATAGCTGCATGTGGTGGCTATAATATCAGAGGTGCAGAGGTGATTATCAATCAGTTTTTTTGCTGCTGGTTCCAGGTGTTGAATCTAAAAAAGATGGCCCTTTTCCCCCTCAGTCTGTCTATTGCCAGCACTTCTATTAGCCCTTCACATGCACTCACCAGCCACTTTGTTAGGTACACCTGTTCAACTGCTCGTTAACACAAATATGTAATCTGCTATTCATGTGGCAGCAACTCAGTGCTTTTAGGCACGTAGACAGGATCAAGATGACCTGCTCAAAATCAAACTGAGCGTCAGAATGGGGAAGAAAGTTGATTTAGGTGACTTTGAATGTGTCATTGTTGTTGGTGCCAGACAGGCTGGTATAAATATTTCACAAACTGTTGATCTACTGGGAATTTCTTACACAATCATCTCTAAGGTTTACAGAGAATGAGAAAACATCCAGGGAGCGACAATACTCTGGAGGAAAATGTTTTGGTGACGTTAGAGGTCAGAGGAGACTGGCCAGAATGTTTGTGAGCTAGTAGGAAGTAACTCAACTGTATCTCAATTAAACCGTCAACACAACCAAGATATATGGAAGATTATCTCTGATTACACAACACCTTAAACTATGAAGGAGACTGACTACATAAGCAAAAGACTCACCAAAGCTGGGCAAGCCTCAGTTTCTCCTGCAACATTCAGATGGTAGGGTCAGAATTAGACAAAGATCCAGGCTTGTATCAACATTTCAGGCTTTTGCTGGGCACACTATTATGTCCCTTGGTACCATCATTTAAATAAAACAGCCTGAGTGTTGCTTCTGATCACGTCCATCCCTTTATGACAACAGTGTACCCGTCTTCTGCTTCCAGCAAGACAAACGCCATGTCACAAATCATCTTAAACTAGTTTCTTGAACATGATGGTGAGTTGATCATGGTGGGCTCCACCTCACCAGTCTCAAATACAATATAGCATCTTTAGGATGTGGTGAGACAGGAGGTTTGCATCATTGATGTGATGTAAACAAGTCTGCAGAAATTGTACAATGCTATGACGTCAATACAATACCCTGTTGAATCTATGCCATGAAAAAAGTTTTAAAAAAAAAACTACTGGCAACTGCTAGAAAAAGAGGCATATTCTTAGAGTGTGGATGTAGTTTTGTTAATTAAAAGTCAATGAAATGGGAAGCACTCCGGTTCTGATAATATTTACAGAATGACTGACTCACCTGGTAAGAAAGGGTTCATGCCCACTGTACGAGTGGCTGTAGGAAGCTTTCAGAGCATAACCAAAACCTCCCCAATTGTTGGGGCAGGTTACAGTTCTTACACAAAAATAGGGTAAATTAATTTCACAATCACCACGTTGTGGTTATTCCACTCTAACAGTGCTTTACTCAAAAAGTAAGCTGCACATTCCTCGTTCTATAACTGCACCACTACGGCCTCTGGATGTTAACAGAATGGACGTGACTACAATCTGAGGGAGCTCTCTCGCCCTCCCCAACTCATCCCAACTCATTTCATTACAGATATTTTTGTCAGCGGACACATGAACCCACAGCAACCAGAGATGAAGACAAGTCTTGTAATTATTATTGAATATGATGTTGTCCAACTGTTGCCGGAAAAACGCCCATTAAAATCAAATAACCTTATTTCCGCACCTCAGTATCGCACAGTATTTGTCTAAAGAGTAATTTGAACAAAGAAACAAAACAAGAGCTTAACAAAATGTGACGTACGACCTCTTTAACTAAATGGTTCTGTCACTGCTGAGAGTGATGATGGCAAAGCGATTAGTCAAAAGGAAGACAAGACAGGCAGCATACCAATATAAACAATAAGAAATAAAGTTTTTGCACAAAATCCAGATGTTCAGTAGCATTTGGTGTTTAATTTATATTTTAAGAGGAAAACAAAACTCTATATAAATTAAAACAACATTAATTGGCATCTAGTAAGCTGCCCAGTACATTTCAGTGTGTTAAATAAAATAATAAGACCGTTGTTAAATCAGTGGCTGCTTTGACTGTCTTGTGTTGTCTGTGCTAAGCTACTTGATATCTTTCATTGACGACAAGTCTGATGGTGGTAGAAGGCAAAAGAGAAAGGAACACAGTGTCCCATGAGACAAAAGCACCCCAGCAGTTTCCTGAACCTTTAGTGCCACCGAGGACTGATGGACAGAGTGACAGACAGATGGAGAGACATCCATCTATCCAGTTCCACATATTCAACTCAGGGTTCAGGGTTATCTATGGCCAGCTAGCTCTACCTAGCGATAGGTTCTAGCTGTCTTGGTCCAGCCACCCCCTTCAGCTCTGGGTCCAAACATGTGGGAGAGGTAGCGGCAGATACAACATAAGTTTT